CACTACCACATATACCCGCCGTTTGTTCAATCATACCCTCGAATACAGACCTGAGACACACTGACCGACACACTGCACAGACACACACACTCACGTTTTGGTCCCTCAGTCATTCAACAGGTATATGTTGAGCTCCTATTATCTGTTGGCCAGAAGTAAACAACATAGAGCACACTCAAAACCATAAAACATAAACACATGATTTTCCATGCCTGAGTCTGTTGGGAGGGAGAAAGAATCTAGCTTCAGAGTGGCCCTAGGAATCCACAACTCTGCTCTGATTCTCTTAGTCCAGCCCAATTCCAGACCCACTCTGGGATGACCCAGACCCCTTTCCTACCCTGTAGGGACCCGCTGCGTCCTCCAGGAAGCGCACGGTGTGGGCCCTGTGCTCCCCGGCCTCGCGGCACACCACACACAACTGCGTCTCGTCGTCCTCGCAGAAGAAGTAGATCTTCTCCCCGTGCTCCCGGCAGATGTCCTCCTCTTCTGAGCCAAGCGTGGACACCAGCTGGAGGTGTGTGATGTTCTCCACCACGCTGGCCAGCTGCCAGTTGGGCCGGAAGCTCCCAGGCCGGAAAGGCTCTTTGCAGAGTGGACAGGTGGGGGACTCCTCAGGGTCTGGGCCTGGGCCTGGGATCTCACAGTAGCGGGTGAGGCAGCCCCGGCAGAAGTTGTGGCCACAGTCGATGGTGACTGGCTCCCTCAGGGTGCCTTGGCAGATGGGGCAGTTGACCTCATCTGCCAGGCTGGTCACGGAAGTGGCTGAGGCCATGTGGCCTCCACAAGGTCACCCTCTCTGCGTGTCTGAGGGGGAAGGGCTGGGAGAGCAGGGAGGACACACACCACATGTACACATGGTCGGACAAAGGCACATCTTAAACATGCACTGACACCCGTGTCATCACACACACATGGACAAGGCACCCACTTGCATCTCTGGCGGCTGGGGTTCTGTCGTCCTGATCTCTCAAAGGAACAGACATACACCCGCCACAGCAGATGAGGGGGAGGAGGAGGGGCTCACAGCATTCCAGAGATGATCTCAGTTACTCTCTGACCAGTGCCCAAGGCCTGGGGCTCACTGTTTCTTTCCGTCCATCCAGAGACACTCACGGTAGAAGCAAGTGGTGGTGAATCAACCATGCACTGTTGAAAAAGATTGTTCTTCTTGTGAGGGCAGTAGAGAGACTGGGTCACAGAGTGGTGATGCCACCCCATCCTCCCTGCAATATGACCAGCTGTCTCCGGGGAGATTGGAGGTATCAGCCAGCCAGGGCTTGCCAGCAGCAGGCAGGGGAGTGTGGGGACTCAGATAAGGTCCTTGTGCTGGTGTACATGGCACAGGCAATTTCAGCGGTGATGCCCCAACAGGCATCACCTTCAAAAGAGGTTGGAATATACCCTGTGTGAGGGCGGAGAATGAAATAGTAATGGTCAGTGTTTGCTTATGATGACTATACGCCTTACACTGATAAAAAGCAATTGAAAGGTATGATCTTATTTGTTTCTTCTGTCTGCTCTATAATGTTGGTGCTATTAGTATCTCCATTTTAATGAGGAGGCCGAGGCTTGGCTTGTTTAGCTTGCCCACGGTACAGGAGTAGAAAGATGAGTGAGCATAATCTGCAGTCAGATCTGTGCGTCTTCCAAGCAATGCTCTCCAATAAAAATACAATGGGAGCTACAGATGCAATTTAAAATTTTCTAATAGCCATAAAAATGAGTAAAAAGAAACAGGGGAAATTAATTTTAACTATATTTTATTTAGCCCTATGCTTCCAAAATATTACCACTTCAACATGTAATCAGTATAAAAAGTTATTAATGAGATATTTTACGTTTCTTTTTATTTGTGTGAAGTCTTCGAAACCTGGCGTGTATTTTACACAGACGGCACATCTCAGTTTGGACTGGCTACATTTCAGTGCTCAGTAGCCACATGTGGCTGGTGGCTCACTCACTGGACATTGTAGCTCCAGGGTTGCACTCTCTGGGGAAGAGGGACAGATAGGGTAGCAAGGGG